CTGGTGCCTATCTTCAGCGAACGTTGCGGGCGAGAGGCGGGGTCACCCTGGACAGGTCGCCAGTCTGTCGCATGCCTAATAATTATGGACACCTTAATACAGAGTGTTGATCTCCGTAGGCCCCTCCTTCCCTCATTAATACATTAGCTGATATATTTATACTCAACAAACATTCAAGTTTGTACAGCTTGGAGTTGGAAAATATGGATAAAAATGATGATATGGTCAAAACTCAAACTTACCTAATAATTATGCACACAGTAGTTGCAAGAACTGAAGCTGTGTGCTGACTATAGATCATTCCTCTTTAGGTCAGTTTTGTTTCTGTTCAGCTGGAGAAAGTTATGACACATCCGCACATTGATTTGTTCTAAGCATCTGTTCAGAGCGTTGATGAGTTCACAGTCAATGGGGGCATCATAATGTATAATGTATCATCTGTGTAGTTATGGTAGGTAATCTTATTACTTGTTTTAACCTCAGGTAATGGGAGCATGTAGATACTGAATAGGCAAGGTATTTACTGAATACAACATGTAGTCCAATGTACCATACATTTTACAAATGTAATTTATTCATGTATAAAATCCAGTGGATTTCTAAGTCATTCTGTTTTTCACTGTTGATGTTTATCTCCAAATTCAGATTATTTTATTAATCATGTTTTCATCCTTAAAGTTTTATCTTGAGACAAAACTATAACAGAAATGCAACAGTTTTAAAAATCACAATCAACGGTTTTACAATAGAAATAAAATAGACCAATGCAAAAATTCTGGGTTAGAAAAAACACATTTCTTCAATGCTCAGTCTATGCCTTAATTATCTAAACATAAGTATTAAGTATTAAATAAACATGACAAAGACTATAGTGTACATGAACAGCTTGGCTTGGAATCAGCACCCAGATCTGCTTGCCAGAGTTGTCAGAGGTGGTGTGTGCTGGTCGATCTCATTCCATCTGGTCAGTAATGGATTTTCCACACAGAATGCTCTCCCTGCCTGTCTGTGGAACATAAACAGGTCAGTAAGCCATCTCTCTATAAAATTATTCATTTTTATCGAGAGTTTGTTTTGTACAGCTGAAATTTAATGAATATGTAAAAGTTGGCTCCTGGTCTAATTTCCAAAGCACTCCAACAGCCTCCTTTTGACTTTAAGAGCTCTGCATGAGCAGACATTAGTTTACATCAGTGGACTATTGCATCCTTACACCTGCAAGCTTCTGCGGCTCCAAGACTATGGAACTCTCTGAGGTTGGGTGAGCACAGTGACTTTAAAAGAAGCCACATGGAAATTTATCTTCATAAGTCTGGTTTTGCTTTAAGTGTCTTGTGTTTTTATTTTGTTTACTGAAGTACTTTGTATAAATGAGAGTTCAACTAAATATTAAAGCCTGATTTTCAGTTTTAATTCAGTTGAATATTAATTCTGCACACTAATACTTGCCCAATAATAACGCACACATAGATATTGTCCTAAAAAAGTCAAAATCTTACTTTTACTTTCTTAAAAGAAAGATTAACGTCAGGTTTGAGTTGTCATTAACATTTTGGATTGACTGTGAACGCTGTAGTTGTTCAATGGTAAAATTTCAAATAAATTGTCAAAATTACAACTTGCATAATAATTGTACACACAGTGTAAAGTTAAACTTCTCACTTTTAATTGATCACATTTGTTATTATGTTAGATGCACGACAGATTATGTATCTGTAATAATAATAGATTATGTATCCATTATTATGTACTGTTCCAAATGTGAGTGCATAATCTGAAGGCACATTTGATCAAAGTGGTGTAGTGAAGGCTGTTCATAAAAGCTTGAATGTCTTTTCTTTCACACAAGGATGGATCTTAGTCGCTTCCTGATCCCTAGAGTGTCTGCTGTGTCACAAATAGTTCAAAGACCTGTTAATGATTCATTGCATCTCTCAAGCTCATTTTTAGTTGCTGTAAATATGTAAAGTCAATGCTAATGTACAAATGATCATTTATTTTACTAAAGTGATCTGCATATTGAGCAAAAATGTGAACCACTCTTCCTGTCATTTTATGGCATTCCTTATCTGCTGTGAAATGTAGCAAATTGTGATGGCAAGCAAGTTATGGACTGAGTGAAAATACTTGAAGAACCATACTTTATTTATTTATGTTGCTCACACTTGTCCAACCTCACATTGTAGTTTGCTGCTCTAGTTTTTTCCAGACGCACACTTCACGCCGTCTAGTGGTGCCTGGATGCTCCAGCATGTGACTGAGTCAGGTGTTCTGTTTCCTTCTTCTCCTCTGCTTTTTATGCAAAATACAGAGGCATGATGGAATCAATTCTTGGAGTCTGCTTCCCCTCCACCATGTGATAAATTATTCAGTCATGAGCAGACAGACAGTGGGGGTGTGTGAGCAGTGCCATGCAGTGCCAGCTTATGTTTGCAACAAAAACAAAGCTGCGGTGAAAAGTGTAGGACAGAAAATGAGGCATAGACAGACTGTATTTTTGGCATAGATAGAGATAAAAAATAAAACCGAGTTTCTTTATTACTGAAGGCTAATTTAATGCCATTATCAGATCAAGTGGTTTACTAAGCAGGTTGATTTTCGGACATTTTCCTCCAAAGATGACAACTTCTGTTGTGCCTGAATCTAAATGCAGAAAAAAAATCAAGACATCCAGGTTTTTATGTAGTCAGGTCTTTCTGATAGGATTTATGGATGAATACAGCTGAGTATCATCGGCATAACAGTTCAAATTAGCTTCTGTCTTGGTTTTGGCCTGTGTTTTGTTGCTCATTCATATTTTATTTTCTGTTCAGTCTTTGCTCTTTACTTGTCTTCATTTTCATTTACTTCTAGACTTTGTCTCTTGTTTCTCTGCAGTTCCTGTCCCTGAAGCCAGTCCAATAACATTTTGAATCCTACTTTCTCTACCATCATGAGCATTGCAACTCTCTCACCTGTGAGTCCTGAGCCTCCATCCTCAAAGCTCATGTTCATCAGAGACGTCGAGCCCTCCCTGCACCCTGCCAATGCCCCTGTGTGTCCAGATGTGGCTCATCAGTCTCTGAATGGAGCCTCTTCCTTTGGCCCTGAGAGCAACCAGTCCAGCCTCACCAGTGAAGAGTCTACTACTGATCCATTGTTCTCCCAGAGGTATGAAATCCCCCACAATGATGTGATATCTGCTTAAACTTGCAGTGTAGGTCCTTTCCCCTCTCCTGGACAATGAGGGTGCAACATGTTTTGTGATGGTTGTTTTTGCAGTGATCACTAGACTTCTATTTTTTTATGGAGGATCAAAACGTTAGGTGACTTGACTTGATCATAAAAACCTCATGCTGATGAGTTGTTGCAAAGTGCTGCAGAGATGTGCTGATTCTATTCCAGGGATAAAGTCTGGAAATGAAGAGCACAAAGAATTTTCTGACGATGCATGGCTGCTTGATCTGCTGCTTTTAACTGCTAAAGTTGCTAAGCTAACTGTCCTCAACACTGAACTCCAGATAAAAAAAACAACAAAAAACATCGGTCCAACATAAGTGCAGTTAATACATACAAAACAAACTTTGTGTTTAGAAGACGCATCTGAACACTGGGAAGCTAAAACATTTTCTGAACCTGAAAAAATGATCTCAACAATCAAAGAGAGGATGAAGAGGACCCGGAGGATTTCTGCACACATCTGGACGAAGTGACAGCAGAGTTGAATTCATGTTTTGATGACTTAAATCTAATTGAGTACATTGCTACATTTTTCTCAAACCCCTTTCAACACATTGAAATAGAGCACATAGCAGCAGAACTTCATTATGCATTTGCATTACAAACTATTGAAGACAAGGAGATAAATGATTTGCAAAATTACATTAAACCGAAAGCCAGATTAAGAGACAATTACTGTCTCAATGGTAGAGAGAAGTTCCCTCTTTTCATTATATATGCACTAAAACTGAATACTTAGTTTGGCTCCACTTACCTGTGTGAGAAGGTGCATTTTCACAGATGAAAAAAAGTCAAACTATAGGAGCTCCTTGCTGACTGATATTTGCATCAGACTGGCTGTCTGAATCTACGAACCAAACTCCAAAAAACTAAGAGAAAGATTTGTTCTCAGACATCATCAGGAACTTGAAGGAGCTCTACAGGTGGAGCTCCTCCTTCTAGCACTGTAAAAGGTGATACTGAATGAGATTGTTCAGTCACATTCAGTTAAGCCAGATTAAGAGACAATTACTGTCTCTAGGGAAGTTATTGCCAGACCTCCTGCTATTTCACATTAAAAGGAAATGCAGCCACTTTAACAAGTAAAGCTATTCCAGGACAATTCTTTAAATGGTAGTGTGGGGAAAAAAAATAATTTTTTTTTATTATTTTCTCCTGGGACTTTAGTTCCTGCTTAATACACTGTCAATCTCTATTCCTCAAGGTGAACGATTTATTGGATCCTTACTATTTTAGATGTTGAATTTACAAAGTTAATTTATTAGCCTGAGTGAGTATCCCACCTGATAACAGCGTTTCTTGAGTTCGTTGATCCCAGTGCTGGAGTCGTGGAGCTGGCCAACAGCCCTCTTCTCTCTTAAATCCTAAACGAGGTTTGAGGTGGAAGACTAGTCCAGTCGGTACCAAAACGTTGTTTGTCAATGTCCTCGGATGTCCAGTCGAGGGATCTGGGTCGCAGCACCAAATAGTTGTGCTGCTGTGTATTCTTTTGTATATGTGACTTTTTTTTGCTTTCTATACATTTTAACAAGCACTGTTCAGGTGAAAACACTCAATGAGGTTTATTTATGAATTGTGCACAACTCAGAGAGCTTTCCATCACAAATTGTTTCATGATTGATTGTCCTTTGAGCTCTCCTAAATGGACTGGCTGTATTTTGGTATTAAGAAATGGAATTTATGAATTCAACTCACTGACTCTTCTTCAACCTCAAACATCAAGAATTTAGCATAGAGAACGGATAAATCCTTCACAAAAGCTAAGTGTGGTTACCTAAATGAAGCATGATCATGAGCTTCTCCTTTTTTAGACTTTATTTTTCTAAAGTTTTTAGAGCATATAGAAAAAAGCATAAACAGAGAAACAAACAACAAAACACGTGAAATTCACAGGTACATGTCACATCTTATCTGCAAAAAATTGTCATTTTTCACAGAATGTGTAAAACAGCCACATCAATATTTTCTTGCCTTAGGCTGCTAATCTTATATGTTCCATAATCTATATCAGAAGACCTAATGAGGGAGTGTCTCCTGTGAGCCAACATTTTGTGATGGGTTTTTTGTACTCATGAGCTTATCTGTTAACTCATCACTGCAAAAAATAGAATGCCTAGATTTAGAAGGGACTTTTATTATTCAGTGTGTCAACTCAGATCTGGATCAAGTTCAGGGATCTTAGACTCAAAAAAGTTAATGACAGATGGCTGGCCAGCTGTAGGAAGAGAAGTTCCAAACTTCTTCCTTTCATTAATGATGGAGGCCACTGAGCCCATCACCTCAAAGCTTTACAAAGTTTTCTGTTTTTTTCTCCAGATTTTTATAATTTTGGTCTCTGAGATTTGCAGACAGTTCCTTTGATTTCATGCTTGGTGTTTGACCTCTGACCTGCATTGTCAACTGTGGGACCTGATATAAACAGGTGTATCCATTTCAAATCAAGTCCAATTAACTGAATTGACAACATGTAGACTTCATGTGAACTTTAGAAGCATCTCAAGGATGATCAGTAGAAACAGCTCAGTGTTGAGGTTTACAGGTAAAGCATTAAGCAAAGACTGTGTATTCTTATGTATATGTGACTTTTTTTTGCTTTCTATTTTTAATACTTTCAATACATTTGCAAAAAGACCTCAAAGACATTTTTCTTAGGCGTGTAGAATTTTGAGGAAAGGTTTCTGACTTGGATGGAATCCAGCATTCACCTTATGAAAAGTAGAAAATTAAACACCAGCAACAAGTGGGACTTTCCAACAAAATATTTTTCTTTATAAAGTATACTGTATCCTTGTTTAAATTTAAGCTAACAGGTAAACTTTAGATTTTCCTCCATAGATGTGCAGGTATGAAGTGAAATACATTTGCTAACTTGACAAAAAGGAGGGGAGATGCTGCAGTATGTCTATTCTAACCAAAGTTTAAGATTTAACTATATTTATCAAGAAGTAAAAAATTAAAAATTATGCAGCTGCCATCAGAATGAAAGAAAAATAAATGCACCTGGGTTTGGAGTTATTTTTAAACACATTTAGGGCTTTTGGTGTATTGTTGGTTTTTCACAAATTTGAGTTTTGAATTGTGACTTCCAACACCCAAACATATGTTATTGTTCAGATATTTATAAGTCATTATAACTTTATCAGAACTATTTGCCAAGAAAGCTAAATTTAGGTAAGGTAATTGTATTTATATAGCACATTTTCAGCAACAAGGCAATTCAAAGTGCTTAAATTTATATTTAGTACTGAGAAGATTTGTATGATCATTCTGGGTGTAGATTCTCATTCTTTATTGTATTTATTTCTCATGTGTTCTGCTTTAAGGACAAAGAAACTTCCTCCTCTCCACACTGGAGCCGACTGGAAGGTCGTCCTCCATCTGCCAGAGATTGAGAAGTGGCTAAGAGCAACCAGTGACAGAGTTGCTCAACTCACACACTCTGTTGGACAAGACAGTGACAACAGACATGTGGATGTCCACCTAGTACAACTTAAGGTAGGCAAAAATGTGCTCTTCCTGTTACTATGGCAACTCTTGCATGCACCCGTGGGCAGCCATTTTCTCTCAATTCTCTCTGTATATTTGTTTGTTGTGGGTTGCCCCATTCAGCTGACGCTGTATGCACTCTTCCACCACAACTGATAAAAAGGTTTACCTCAACGTTTGACCATGGAATTATTGACTCGCACCTCACTATCTCACCAACTACTAGGGCTCAGCTCAAATTAAAAGTGATAGTTGAGATGTTGTTCAAAGAGTTTGTAAGTCCACCTTCACTCACCCAGTGGCATAAATCCAGGGGCCAATCAACAAATGCTCCTTCCCTCTTCTAGATAAGTGACTGAACAATATTTCACAGCTGAGAAGTCATTGACAATATCATTCTAAAATATAAAAAAATACTGGATGCTCTTCCTCGTCACTAGGCTTCTGGTGATGTGATCCAATTTAAAGAACTTCAGAGGACAAAGCTACAAGTATGGGAAACCAGTTTCTCTGGTCATTTATTCATTTATCCTCTAATTCATTTCGACAGAATCTTCTTCATATGCAATAAATGGAATATCTGTTAACGTAAGGGAGGAGAGATCTTTCTATTTTCTCAGACAACTCTTGCTGCAGCTCTGTCTTTTCCTATTATTGCATGGGGAATTCTATACGAACACAGTTTGGCAGGCACGATGATGTCAGTCCAGAATCGATGGTTCAGCTGATAATGAAAGTTAATGCTGCTGTGCTGTGGTGTGGCATTACATTTTGATGATGGCACTTATCAAAATGTAATGTTTGTTACTGTTTTTTTTTCAATTGTTGACTGTATGGTGTCTTTTATGATTTTGCATATTTGTTTATTTATGATGTAAAGTACTTTGAACTGCTTTGTTGCTGAAATATGTTGTTCAAATAAACTTGAGTGATTGGGCAGATGCCAAGTCTTACTGGAAAATGAAACCAGCATTTCCAGAAGGCTGGTCAGCAGAGGGAAGTAGAGAGGGCTCTGAGACTTCCTGGTAGATGAATCATGCTGCATTTGTTGAGAGAGGAGTGGAATGGGATGAAACACCACAGCCTCTGATCAGAACCGGCTTTGGATTCTGGGAGTCTCATTCTATAAAATTTATTTATATACAAATTAAATAGATCCCAGTTTATGAGATAGAAATTCAGTCATTGTTTTTGACTTTCTTTTAGTGATTTTTTTTTTAAAGAAATGTTTTATGGCACATATCATTGTTTATTTATAAATCTGTCACTAGCGCATGAATCTCAAACATGTAAAATATGTAAGCTTGTTGAATGACACTTCAGTTCTACTTAAAGTCTAGCTATTCTGAAAAGCAGGATGTGATCCAGAAAAACCAATTCGGTTTGAACTTAGACATTTGTTTAAATCTCTCTATATAATTGGATTTAACTGACAATTTCTGTATAAAGATAATAGAACATTGTCTTTATAAAATTTATTTTGTATAAGTATAATGCAAAATATATAATTATTCTGTATAATTATATTTTTTTATATTCTGCGAATAAATTGAATTCTTGTAAAATTTGAAACATTTGTTGAAAATTGGGTTGATACGAATAATAAGAAATGAATGAAATTATTCTAATTAGAGAAAATCTAAAATAATTGAGGCTCCCTCCAGCCCCCAATTCTTGTTTTTGATATCTTTGAAGTTGTGTTATTGTTTAACCCTGGAAAAAAAAGAACAATTCATATAATCAAAAGTCTACAAAATTATTACATTCATGGAGATGTTGGGTGGATGTAAACTTCATGTGCTGATGCTCAGTGCAGTTCAGGGAAGCGACAAACTCAAACTTTTGCATAATGCATGCGTCACAGAGCATAAAACAACAGCTTACTGTTTGGGTTCTGAGGTCATCGTGTGTGTGTGTGTGTGTGTGTACACTAAAGTGTTGTGTCATTTTTCACCAGTAATAAAAGCTTTATTTGTGGAACTGTCACTTTGCTGCCTCTACAGTTAATAAAGACAGCAATAGAGAGATGGAATCTGTTGTGCCTTCTAGTATAGAGAATACCTTAAACTGGGCAAATTAGCAAACAAAAACAAAACACCATGTACATTTTTTTAAAAATAATGTGTTGGTAATATATTGAGATGGTTTGCAGATTTTTAATGCATAAATTGCTCATGTAAAATTTAATGACTTAGCTGTGAAACAGTCTACATTCTGTCTGACTTGATGTTTGCTTAGGCTCATTCTCTGGTTGACCGCTCCACCTAGTGGTATTATTTCTGTATTACAACAAGGTGGAGAACAGCAGTGGCATCTCCCCTCCTGTGGAGATGCTGATGGGATAAAAAGCATGTCATATGCTTTTACATTTTCCAAAGAAAACTATTCTGTTGAGTGGACTCAAATGCTTCACCTAAATCTAGAAAACTTCCTAAAACATATTTATTATGTATTGCAGAATTCATTGTCTAAGACTGCTGAATCACAGGAATTTCTCTGTATTAATGTTTTCAAAATATATAGTGATGTTTCCACAAAATGTAGAGCACAAAGTGGTATAAACAATGAATTATAGAATTATACATGATTCAAAACAAAAGTGTGATGTGAAAAAGTATTCAGCTCCCTTTACTGAGTGCAACCAATTGCCTTCAGAAGTTGCCTGATGATGCTAATTACTAAACAGAGTCCACCTGTGTGTAATTTGGTCTCAGAATAAATCCAGCTGCTCTGTGATGCTTCAGAGGTTCACAGGATATTTGAGAGCAAACGGTATCATAAAGTCCAAGGAACACAACAGACAGGCCAATGAGAAGTTTAAAGCAAGCTTTGGCCATACAAATATTTCTCAAGCTGTGAACATCTCTCTGTTTAATCTATCATTTGGAAATGGAAACAGTCTGGCACAAATGAAAACCTACCAAGACAAGGCCATACACTGAAACTTCCAGCTGAACAAGGAGAGCTCTGATCAGAGATGCAGCCAAGAGGCCCATGGTGACTCTGGACCAGATGGAGAAATTCACACCTCAGGTGGGGGAATCTGTCCACAGGATAACTATCAGTCATCACTGCACATTGTTTCTTCACCATTAGAACATTTAGCAGTGCATACATGAGAATTATTGACGGTAGTAAGCTCCTCCCCCTGGCTCTGATTGGGTGTTTTTGACCTGGGGGGTGGATTTCTGCAGATGGCAGTAGTAGATCAGATAATCTGTTTCTTACTCTACACTGTCACGACATGGTGACAGTTTTAGTAAACATTTTTATAAATGTTACATACTGCATTACACTATCATAATAAAAATATGATGTGACACAAGTCTTGTTGTGAATTGCATTCATAATTTTATATTTTGAACAAATAACAGTTCTTTTGGTCACTTTCCTGACCCCTTTTCATTTTCCTTTATGTATGATTTTGATGCATAGGTTATAACTGGACTGTATATTCTTAAAACAATATCTAATCATCTAATCTGACCAGTTTAGGTAAATACTTATAAAAACAAAGTGTAAATAAAAAGTGAAATCTGAAATCCCTTTATTCTACCCACCTGTTTTAGTTTTTCCTTAACACAACTGGTTTTGGGAGAAATTTAGGGCAACTTAACAAATTGTCTCAATTTACATTCACCACTTTTATAATGCGTATCTTACGAACCCAGTAAAGTCAATATCTGACTGGATATAAACTAATCAAGAGTGTTAGACTTAGACAACAATAAAATGTCATTTCTGGACTCATTGAGAAAACACCATCATCATCCTACCCTGACCAGACCATAGCTGCTAGACTAGATATGAAACTTTTCTAAAATGTTTTGCTTGATGATTTTTGTAAAACTAAGTGGCTGATGTTTGAAATCCCAGCTCAAGCTTTTATTTTAGCTTGTGAAACGGGCCCCATTTGTTTTCATTGTTCTTACTGTAAAACATTTAGCTTACTTACATTTATGAATTCCACAAACAGCTTATGTCTGGTTTCTGGCTAGGACTCTGTCTCCCCTCTTGATGGGTGACATCCTGGCTGTAGGGGTTTAGAGCTTGGGGTGTAGGGGTTTGCGATGGGAACAGACATATCTTCAGACGGCTGTTTGAAATCACATTCATGCCCCTGGTGATCTCTCTCCTCCTTCATCATGTCCTTTCCTACCCTTTTGTGGCTTTTGTTTCTTTTTTATCCTCTCCATCATTTGCAATCTCTCTCTTCCCACCTCTCTCCATATCTCTGTCATTTTTATAATGCGTTTGCCTGCAGGGCATTTTTCTATAACCCGACCTTGCCACAGAGACTGTAGGATATGATTATACTGATGCAGCTGGTGTCTGTGTGTCTGGGTGTGTTTCTAAGTAATGGTATGCGCTCCTCTGAACTATTCTTGGTGTCATACAGCAGGTGGAGTCCAACAGCTGAACAGAGCTGCTCTGCAAGGGAGAGGCTGTTATGTGTTCTAAACAAATCCATGGGAATCTGTGAAATAGTAAGACTTAAAAAGCTATAACTACAAAACATTTTCAATAGAGCATTTGACTTTAGTCCTCACCAAAGATTAATGTCTTCCTTAGTTCTGGTAGCACCCTATCCACTCCCACTCCCACCCCTCAGTTTGTCCGGGCCTGTGTCATTTCTTTAGTGAAACCAGTGAGTAAAACAATAACTAATATTTCTAATGAGGTCTCATCATTTTTCACACATTGAAGCCATGCTTTTAAACACTTGCTTCCCATTTGTTTGTGGAGGATGTCTTTAGTGTAAATGAAATTCATAATTTTCTACTCAACACCATGCATCTACTAACATGAACATTTAACATGAACATTTGTAAAAATTGTAAACAAACTGGTCATATCACTTTAATGACCATATTATTGTTAAAAATAAGAATAATTAAAGCTGAAAATTAATCTGTCACTGAATCAAACAGCATAAGTGTGACTATCAAAATCCTTATAACAAAGTAGTTGTACAAAAAAATGTACATCTGCTCTTTATTAAATTAGATTATAGACAAAAGACCAGTAAATGAATTGAATGCCAGCTGAAGATGTTTGCAAACATAATATCAAGTTAGATCCATCCATCCATTTTCTAACACCCTTGTCCCTTAGAGGGGTCTGGAGTCTATCTCCAGCAAACGTTTCGGGTGAGAGGCTGGGTCACCTTGGACAGGTCAC